AAAAGTACCCAGTTAATTGGTCATCCTCTCTTTTGCCTCAGGCCCAGCGGTTGCCCTCTTCGCCCGACTGGCGGGGCGCTGCCCCCGATGTCCGCCCGGAGCCCCCCGCAGCAGCACCCCCTGCGGCCCCCCTATCCTCCTCATCCTCTGCACTCAGCCCCGCCCCCTCAAACTTCGGGGAGGGCTCCAGGGGGGCGGTGGCGGCACCCTCGGCCCCACCCCTGGCAACGACATCGGCCACCACGTCGGAGGGGCCCGAGCCCAAGGAAGGGCCGGTGGTCAAGAAGGTGAAGGTCCGCCCCCCTCCGCTGAAGAAGACCTTTGACTCGGTGGACAAGTGAGTGACCGTGGAGATGGATGGGGGGGGGTCCTGGGAGGGGGGTCTGGAGGAGGGGAGAGGCAGCGCTCCTGAGACCCCGCTCGCCCCCTCTGCCCCCCAGCAGGGTCCTCTCGGAGGTGGACTTTGAGGAGCGTTTTGCGGAGCTGCCCGAGTTCAAGCCGGAAGAGGTGCTGCCCTCCCCGACCCTGCAGTCTCTGGCCACCTCCCCCCGCGCCATCCTGGGCAGTTACCGCAAGAAGCGCAAGAACTCCACAGGTGAGTAGTGGGGGGGGGGGGGGCACGGCTGTCAACAGCGGAAGAGACTTAAAAAGCCAAAGAATAAAACATACATGCGCATAAATACACATACACAAATATATACACACATATACACCAATATACAAACACACACAAAACACATATACATAGACTGGGTCACAGCAACGCGTGGCAGGGGACAGCATGTCTATATAAATAAAAATGTCATGTTCGTTTGTGGGATGAACAGAACTCAGAAACCACTGGACAAATGGACACCAAATTTGGACACCAGACACCTCTCAGGCCAAAGACTGACCATTACTCAGAAAAACACTGAAAAAACACAACAGAGACCTAAAAAGCCAAAAAAACAAAAACTACAATACATGCACAAAACCACACACACACATACATATATGCAAACACACATATACAAATACATACACACCTATACACACGCAAAACACATAGACGCAGACTGGGCCACAACAGGGGACAGCTAGTAATATATAATAGCAAAATATATAAAAATGATAAAATATAAATAAAAATTAAATAAATACATGAAAAATGAAATAAAAAATAGTATGTAATAATAAAATATATGGAAGGAATATAAAAATAATTTTGACAACGCAGTAAAAATAACTAAAATCTACAATAAAAACTATAATAAAATATAAATAAATAAATAAAAATAATATATAATACAATATATGGAAACAATATAAATATAATTTTGACAACGCAGTAAAAATAATTAAAATCTACAATAAAATATAAATAAAAATAAATAAAATTAAAAAATATAGTAATACAATATATGGAAACAATATAAAAATAATTTCAACCACGCAATAAAGGTGGAGGTGGAGGAGACCCCAAATAGTGACCCAGGCACTCCTGGCCGAGGGATGCCCTGACCTCCCACGCGAGGCCGGCCTTTCGCCGGTCTCCTGGGTGGCTGGACCTGACCCTCTCCGCTTTGGCCGCCTCCTTTGCAGACCTGGACTCCTCCACCGAAGACCCCATTTCCCCCAAGAGGAAGATGCGGCGGCGCTCCAGCTGCAGCTCGGAGCCCAACACGCCCAAGAGCGCCAAGTGCGAGGGAGACATCTTCACCTTCGACAAGACAGGTAACAGTGGGGCAGGGAATGACTCCGGCCGCCTGGGGAGCGCAACGTGGGGGGAGGCCATGGAAGAGCCTTGCCCACCGCGGCTCTTGCCTCCCATTGCAGGGACCGACGGGGAGGACGTCCTCGGGGAGCTGGAGTACGAGAAGGTGCCGTACTCCTCTCTGCGGCGCACGCTTGACCAGCGGAGAGCCCTCGTCATGCAGCTCTTCCAGGACCACGGCTTCTTCCCGTCAGGTAAGGACGGAGGGAGGGGCATGGGGCCCCCGCTGGACACTTGGACAAAGGGTCAGTTCCTGTAGGCTTTGCCCTCCCCAGGACAGGGCTGTGTGGGGTGGTGCCTCCCCTCCATCTCCCAGCGGCCAAGGGCCCCTTTCCATCCATCTGCCCACCCTTCCCTCTCTCACTGACCCCTCTGCTTGATCCCTCCTCCCAGCCCAGGCCACAGCCGCCTTCCAGGCCCGCTACTCGGACATCTTCCCCACCAAGGTCTGCCTGCAGCTCAAGATCCGGGAGGTGCGGCAGAAGATCATGCAGGCGGCCACCCCCACCGAGACTGTGCCCCCCACAACCCCGGAGCCCATCGGGGGCCCCGAGGGACCCTCCCTGGATGCCCCCTCCCAGGACCCGGGGACCTCAGCAGTGGAGACCATGGCGGTGGCGGTGCTAGTGGCGACATCATCATCCTCCTCGGGAGGGCCTTCCGCGGCCCCCAGCTCCAGTTGGGAAGGGGCCCCACAGGCCTCCCCCGGGCCTGGCAGCAGTGGCAGATGAGCGACAGAGGGCTGCGCAGAGGACAGAAGAGGGGGAGGGCCCTGGAGCATCGCCCCCATTTCCGCCCCTTCCTGGCTGTGCTACTGAGGGCCCAGCACACCCTTCCGCGGACCGCTCACCCCCCGATACCCAAGGACCCCAAAAGGTGGCGGTGGCGGCTGAAGGGGGGCCCAGCCACCCCAGGACATGCAGACCGAGGTCTGCCCCAAAAGACCCCCCAGAGGACCGCTTCTCTTTTCGAGTCCCTCTCCTTTTAATAACGTTAAGTATTTTGGGGTCCCGCATACGCATCTGCTTCTGTATCGAGACATGGGGTGGGAGGGGGTCCGTGGCCAGCCTGGCCCTTGTGGAGGAGGAGGAGGCGGTGGCCCCTGGAGCGAGGGAGGCCCTTCTGCAAGGGGCCCCTGTTGCCTTGGCCGGTGGGCCCTCTGGGCAGAGAGCAAGAGAGACTTGGGGCTCGGCCGGCGGACTCTGGAGGCGGAGCGAGTGAGTGAGCGAGCGAGTGCGTGCCCTGGTGGCCAGAGCCACATGTTGACCATGTGTACCCCTCCCTCCTCCTCCTCCTCCTCAGCAGCAGCAGCATCGGGGTGGCCCTGCCTCACCTGCTATTAAAGCTCTTTAACAACCCGCTCCGTTCCGGCCTGGCATTTTTCACCTGGACCCCCCCTCATCCTTCCCCCTGAGAAGACTGGCAGATGGAGGCCAGGGTCCTGATCCCCTTGAACCCCAATGGGATTTCATGGCCCCTCAGGCTTGGGAGGTGGGGCTTCCCCACGCCCCCCCCCTTTAAAACATCCATATGGGGGGGGGGGGTCTCTTGCACAGGCCTCTTCCGAAGAGGGGCCCAGCGGGGCATCCTTGGGGCTCTGGAGTGTTCGTGCCTTGGCAACGGAGACCGAGAATCACAAGGGTGGGTGTGTTTACATGCCTCTGCCCTCGGGTGCCAACCCTAAGAAGGCCTCATTGATTAGGCCTTGGCATTGATTAGGACACTTTTTAAACAGAGGGCCAGGTCCCAGTCCCTCAAATTGTTGGAGGGCCGGATTATAATTTGAAAAAGGTGTGAATGAATTCCTACGCACACGGCACAGATCTCGTTTGTAGTGCAAAAACACTTTAAAACAATGCAATAATTAAAGCCAAGGACAATATAAACCAGTGGTTCTCAACCTGGGGTCCCCAGGTGTTTCTGGCCTACAACTCCCAGAAATCCCAGCCAATTTACCAGCTGTTAGGATTTCTGGGAGTTGAAGGCCAAAAACATCTGGGGACCCCAGGTTGAGAACCACTGATATAAACTATTAGTATTTCAGTGGGAAGCGAGTGCCTGCTTTTGGCTGGTGAGATGGGATTGTTGTTGTTATTTGTCATTTCAGACTTAGGTTGAACCTGAGCAAGGACTGGGTAAATGATCTTGGAGGGCCGTATCTGGATTAGGAAATTAGTGGGGGGGGGGGCGACCCTAGGCACCCAGCCTGCTGCTCCTGGCTCCCTCACCCACCATCATGGCTTGCAACAAGGGGGGGGTCTACTCTGAGAGAGGGAGGAAGCCCCCCTTTGAAGACCCCCCCCCCCCAGTAAAAGAGACACCTGCTCGGGGTGCACAGGTTCACATACTGGCTTTATTAGATCATAAGAGTAGCTGGTCCCTTTCACCTTCTTGAACCCCTTTGACAACGGGGTGGGGGGGGAGGGTACTGGCTGGAGGGGGGCGCTTGGGGTCAAGAGGTCAGGGGTCGTGCCCCTCCCGCCCCAGGAGGAGGCTCCGCAGGAGGCGGTGGAGGCCGGGGCAGAGGCGCCCGTAGCCGAGGCGCGTCAGGTGCAGGTAGTCGTACATGTCGTGGTGGCTGATGGTCCCGTCCGAATGCACGAAGCCCGGGTCGGCGTCCAGGAAGAAGGCCCCCGGCAGGAGCGGCACCTTCTGGCTCAGTAGCTCGTTCACCCGCCGGTTCTTCTCCCTCAAAGGGTTGGGGTTCTTGCCCCGTGGAAGCAGGCCCTGCAAGTGGGGGAAGAGGGAGAGGAGGGGGGGGTCAGCCCACCAGCCCTCACCCCACCACCCACCCCTCCCTCCTTGTGCCCCCACTCACCAGGACCACCACCTTGGCCTGAGGCTGCTGCTGGCGCACCAGGCGCACAATGGCTTCAATGCCTCCGGCCACCTGCTCCGCTGTGTGGCCATGGTTGTTGGTGCCCACCCAGACCACCACGATCTGCAGCAGCGGGAGGGGGAGGGGGAAAGGAGAAGGGGGGCTGTCTGTCCATCCGTCAGAGGACAAACAGGCTGACCTCCCTTTGCAGCACCACCCACCTCCACCCACACATGCCCTGTTAAGGGGGAACCACCTGCCCCCCAAATAAATACCTTGGCCAGGGGGAGGGGTCATACCATAATGATATAATGAACCATAAAAATCATAAATACAACACAAATACAAATCTATATAAATAAAAAATGTAATGTTTGTGGGATTAACATACTGTATATACTCAAGTATAAGCCTAGTTTTTCAGCCCCTTTTTTAAGGCTGAAAAAGCTCCCCTCGGCTTATACTCGAGTCAAGGTTATTTATTATTTTACTCTGTTATTATTATTTTTATTACATTTATTATTTTACTCTCTTATTGTTATTAATAGAGTAAACTAATATTTGACTCTATTATTGTTATTAATAGAGTAAAATAATATTTTACTCTCTTATTGTTATTAGTATTAATACATTTATTATTCGGTTATTACTGTTATTATTACATTTCCATTATTTTACTGTATTTATTACTGTTATTATTACATTTATTACTCTATTATTACTGTTATTACATTTCCATTATTTTACTCTATTATTATTGGAAGGATACGTAAGCACATTTACATTGAAGAAGTTTAGCATAATGGTTTAATCAGAGTTGGGCGCTCTTATCTTAAATTAGTGTTATGTAAATATTCAAAAGCATTTAACCCACGGATGCCTCGATTAATGTAATTGTATTGGTATCTATTTTTATTTTGAAATTTACCCATAGCTGCTGCATTTCCCACCCTTGGCTTACACTCGAGCCAATATGTTTCCCCAGGTTTTTGTGGTAAAATTAGCTGCCTTGGCTTATATTTGGGTCGGCTTATACTCGAGTATATACGGTAACTTAAAAACCATTGGGCGAATTGTCCCCAAATTGGGACACAATACACCTCTCAGGCCAACAAGTGACCATCTATATAAATAAAAATGTAATGTTTGTTTGTGGGATTAACATAACTCAAAAACCACTGGACGAATTGACACCAAATTTGGACACAAGACACTCAGGCCAACAAGTGACAATCACTCATAAAAACACTGGAAAACACAAAGAGACTTAAAAAGCCAAAAAAAAAATTACAATGCATGCGCAAAACCACATATACACAATACACAAATATATACACACAATACACATATACACACAACAAAACACATATACACAGACTGGGCCACAGCAACGCGTGCAGGGGACCTAGTCTATATAATAAAAATGTAATGTTCATTTTGTGGGATTAAAAACTCAAAAACCACTGGGTGAATTGACTAAATATAAAAATAATAACATAAACATAATAATAAATATAAAAATAATAGGAAATATAACAATAATAAATATAATAATAAATATAAAAATAATAGGAAATACAACAATAACAATACTGAAAACTAAATATAAAAATAATAACATAAACATAATAATAAATATAAAAATAATAGGAAATATAACAATAATAAATATAATAATAAATATAAAAATAATAGGAAATACAACAATAACAATACTGAAAACTAAATATAAAAATAATAACATAAACATAATAATAAATATAAAAATAATAGGAAATATAACAATAATAAATATAATAATAAATATAAAAATAATAGGAAATATAACAATAACAATACTGAAAACTAAATATAAAAATAATAACATAAACATAATAATAAATATAAAAATAATAGGAAATATAACAATAATAAATATAATAATAAATATAAAAATAATAGGAAATACAACAATAACAATAATAAAAAATAAATATAAATAAATAAATAAATAAAATAATATATAATAAATCATTATATGGAAACAAAACAAAAATAATTTTGACCATGCCATAAAAAGAATTAAAATCTATAATAAAATATAATATAAAATAAAAGTAATATATAATAATACAATATATGACAACACAGTACAAATAATCAAAATCTATAATAAAATATAAATAAAAATATAAAATAAAATAAAAATAATATATAATACAATGTATGGAAACAATATAAAAATAATTTCGACAACGCAATAAAAAGAATTAAAATCTATAATAAAATATAAAATAAAATAAAAATAATATATAATAACACAATATATGGAAACAATATCAAAATAATTTCGACAACGCAATAAAAAGAATTAAAATCTATAATAAAATATAAAATAAAATAAAAATAATATATAATAACACAATATATGGAAACAATATCAAAATAATTTCGACAACTCAGTACAAATAATCAAAATCTATAATAAAATATAAATAATAATAAAATCTATAATAAAATATAAATAAAAAAAGAAAATAAAAATAATATATAATAATACAATATATGGAAACAATATGAAAACAATTTCTACAATGCAATAAAAAATAATTAAAATCCATAATAATGAAATATTTAAAATAATAATCCAAATGTAGAATGAAACTATATACAAATAAGATCTAGCTGAGGCCTGGGCAAGCTTGGCTCCTCCCTCCCTCCCTCCCTCTGGAGATGTTTTGGACTTCAACTCCCGGCATGCCTTGCTGGCTGGGGCGCCTTCCTTGTTCCCCCCCCCTCCCTCCCTCCCTCCCTCTGTGTCTCTGGAGATGTTTTGGACTTCAACTCCCGGAATAATGCTGTCCCCCTGCCTGCCTGCCTGCCTACCTTGGGGCGAATGTGCTGGAGCTCCCCGGCCTGGAGGCGCCAGAGGACGTGCTGCGTGGCGTCGCCCCCGATCCCGAAGTTGAGCGCGTGCAAAGGGGAGAAGAGCTCGCGCCACACCTGGAAAGGGGGAGAGGGGTCAGGAGGGGGCCAGCAGGGGGCGGGGCCACACTAAGCCCCGCCCCCTCTCAGGCCCCGCCCCCTCTCATCCCTCCCCTCCCCCCAGGCCCAGACCTGCCTCGCACTGGTGGAGCAGCTGGACCAGCGAGTCCCCCACGAAGACCACCTCGGGCTCCTTGTCCTTGCTGTCCGCGAGGAAGCGGTGGTGCTAAGGGAAGAAGAGGGAGGGTCAGTGGAGGACCGCACACGCCCCCATGCCCCCTCCCCATTGCCCCCCACCCCCCACCCTCTTTACCAGGGACATCCACCGCCCGTCCCCTTGCAGGTCCTCCGCCGGCGTCGCCACGCTGGCCGGGTTCTTGTCTCCGTCGCTCATCTTCCCGGGACAAGAACAAGGACCACAACCAGGCCCAGCCAAGCAGATCCCCCCTACCCTCCCCCCCCCCCCGCAGGGAGAATGGTTCCGCCCACCCGCGCTGACTGCCAAGGCCGGGCGCCTCCACTTCTCAGGCAGCAGGGGGGGAAGGTGGTCAAGGAGGTCCCGCCCACCCTATGTCTTCC